CAGTATTGTTTTGGAATATGACTGTAAATAGAGGTTAAATTGTATAAGGAGAAAAGTCATATAACTTTTCGCTCTTACTTATCCTACGACACGTGACAAACAGATATTGTGTCCGGAAGTTTTCGATCATGAAATTTGCATGGCGACATTAAATTTTGCAATAAATAATGATTCAAACAAATAATTATTTTAAGATATAAATTTTGTTAGCCAAAAATCAAATAAAAATGCATATCGACATGTGTGTTACGGTTCATAGTAGTCTAGAAGGTTTTGCGGCCTACTAACGTTCAAATTAGATATGAACTGTTGTGAAAATTTCCAGGTTTTTCTTCATCGCGAATGAAGTGGCTACGCCGTGTTTCGCATTTTAATCACAAGGACTAAATCAGAGAGTCTCTAAACTACAGGGTGTCCCAAAAGTCGTTTCCACTTAAGAAATGTGTATAACTTCATTACTAAACAAGCTTAATCTAATATATTTTTTTCATTTGGAAGAGGGGAACATAAAGTTATTTTTTGTCTAATATAAAGTTCATAAATATCCTTCCTTTAAAGGCTATCACTTCTAGCTGCAACGTAAAAATGTAGTATTTTTCCAGTGTAAAAAAAAAAGATGTGCCATGCTTTTCTTATATTTAATTCAGTTTTTTTCGTTATTGTGGACTTTGAGTCATTAACATCCTTCATCGCTGTTCTAGAACCATTTATTTAACATTTTTTACAAGATCAACTAGCTACTATATTTCTGGACAGCAAAGTTTTTCTGACACATGTAAAACTTTCATAATTGGTGAAATCAAGATATTGAACGATATTGTGCATCTTACTGTCATTAGACTTGGTATCGCTGCGTTCTTTCCATAAGAAAATATCAAAAGAATGCTGATAAATCAATATTAGATGATGATTATGATTTAAGGTCCACAATAACGATAGAAACTTAATTAAATATAGGAAAAGCATTGCACACCTTGTTTTGACATTGTAAAATGCTACATTTTTATGTTGCAGCTAGAAGTGATAGCTTTTAAAGGGAGGATAGTTATGAACTTTGTATTAGACAAAAAAAACTTTATGTCCTCCTCTTCCAAATGAAAAAAAAATATATTAGATTAAGCTTGTTTAATAATGAAATTATACTCATTTCTTGAGTGAACACGACTTTTGGAACACCCTGTAGAACTCAATATAAATTAATGAGTTCCCAAAATATTTCCAAGAAACGACTACTCAAAGCGTTCAAGTCAATTGCATAATCATTTTGGCATTGAAATAAATTCTACATGAAATATTGAAACATCTTTGCACCTTGGGCAGTAGCTAGGTATGAGGCATACCATGAAACACGTGTCGCTGACGTATTTTGAGAATCTACTTCATCGAAAATGGATGAGTCAAGTATCATTCGATTGCATTCCTTGTACCCTCTCAGTTAATACATAATTCGAGTGTTTAAATAATCATGTTCAAAAATATTAGCAAGATACTCTTTTATTCAAACTTCAAATTTTAATTGTTTTCTGGAAACGCTGTAAATCCTACAGTACGATTATAAAAAGTTTTATATTTTCGGATGCTAGTGTCAATCTGGATTAGATCAGTGCATTGTAAGCACATATTTCATTAATACTAGACTGAAAAATGCCGAAAACAATGCCACTTGACAAATCTTGCAAGAGAAACGTCACTGGACAGTTTCCAGTATTTGTTCAGTTTCTTTGCCACATCTTAGCAGAATAACGATGGTTATTTTTAGTGCAAACAGATAATAAAGATAGTAAAACCAGTTGAAACTTCTTGTAAAACCGCTCATTTGGTCTTTAAAGTTTTACGCGCCTAAGTTGAACATGCCACTCAATAGTAATACGTGACAAAACTACTACTAGTACTTCCAAGTAGAATTTCTAATCGAGAGAAGGAGTGAGAAGTCAATATATTTTTACCGAAAGAAATGGCTACCAGCTAAATATCCGTAGACAACAAATACGGAAATTGAAATTAATGGCGACGCGAGGAAATTCAATCATTACGTCACTGGACAAAAAGATCCAGGACGTATTTAAGCATACATGAGTGTTATACAACAGGAGAACATATAAATAAGAAATCAAAAGTCTAAGCTTTGGATTGATAGTCACTAACAAGTACTACTGAATTATATCCAACCGAGCACGGAAACGTTCTAAAACTGAATCCGTTACAAACTTTTTCATTGTCCATAAAGTACTATTTGGTCAATAGGTCCATTCCCATTACGAGCGACGCATCTCCAAATCCAACTAAACTTGAAAGCTGAAACTTCCAAGACGTTAGATTAGCAATAAAAGGTACTCTCGAAAAAGTCGTGGTGACTGGTTGAAAGGATGCCGACTTTTTTTCATAAATTTCCCCCTGAAACGCTAACAGTACATAAGAAAGACATCAGATTCATTTGGACATCTTGTATAAACAGCGCCTTAAAAAACCGACATCTTGCAGCATATTGAGAAGCACATAGAAATGAG